AAAAGATGCCCAGCAACACTCCCCGAAAAGATGCCCAGCAACACTGCCCGAAAAGTTGCCCAGCAACACTGCCCAAAAAGTTGCCCAGTGTATCATCAGCCTAAGACTTTTTATGGACTTAAATTTGATAAAACTAAATTTAAGTATTTTTAAGGATCCGCGGGAACCCTGTTTCTGCATGCGGATGGAAACTTAACTATGAGCTACATTCAGAGACTCATCAGTGCTGACTAGGGATGTAACGATATTATCAATATCGTGATATCGCGATAACAAAACTGAGGGTTGAGTCCCCTTTAAAGTGCAGGTGCAAGTCAATTCACTGACTTTTTTCTGACTTAAGTTTTCTTAGTTAAGCTCTAAATTGTGAACTCTCAAAGTGCATTAGATAGAATAATTTAACTTTAAAATGTACAAAATGTAAATTTTTTCCCCCAATTCTTCATTTGTCTTTTTTTTTTAAATATCGTAATAAATATCATATCGTGGATTCATATCACATTATTATCGTATCATAAGATTTTGATATCGTTACATCCCTTGTGTAGAGTTCTTAAAATAACCATTTTTCTTAGTGTTACAAATGTTTTAATAATCTAAAGAACCTTTTGTGCATTGGAAGTTCTGTGGATGTTCTTCGTGGAACCATAAAGAATGTTTATTTTGAAGAGTGTAGTGAAGGTTTCTGTAACGAATGCCACAGAAAGCTTCACTATTGACGTCACACCATTTTATCAGCAAAGTTAAATAACAATTTGCTATGCAGCTTCACAGATGTATTAAAGTTTTTTGCTTTGTTTTTTATCCTGTTATTTTAATTTGAACTAATCATATTCTGCCCAGTTATCAGTCTTCTCTTCTCTTGGATCTCCATATTTGGTCGCATATTTTCCTTGGCATAATCATTTGGCTTTTGAAATGGTTGTGATTAATTCCGGCTGGTGTGCCTGAGATGAATTTTCACTTCATGGTTCCTTTACTTAATTTAACTATGCTTTTTGTTTACCATGGCACAGAGAAAGACATCTTCATTTTCGGGTGAAAACATCCAGCCGCACTGAATCTGCGAGTACTAATTAGAATTTGCAGATGCGGCTAAGTGATTTGGGTAATTAACACACAATGCAAATGAGGATGTCATCAATTAGAATGCGCCTCAATTAGCTTATTGACTGCAAGCTCGTCTGATTGTAATCACAGTGGGCGAGAACATTTATAAACCATATGAGACCCAACCTGACAAGAGGTCAAGCCAATTTGTCAACCTTGCATGTGAACGCAACCTAGAGGCTCAAGCAGAGATAAGAGTTGAAGAAAATCAGCTAGTATATGAATGTCAGCTGGGGTTTTTTGCTGACTGAAAGGGCAAATCAGAGATTGTTTTTTTTTTCAGGGTTGTACATGTATTCATGCTGGCTTTTTTGTGGATGCATTGATGTTTGGTTTGTCCAAAGATGTGTTTTGTGATCAGCAACTACTCTACTAAGATGAGCTGATAGGACGAGACCTGTAGTTATGAGTGTGTGGTTACTGTGCTGTAATCACTGGAAAAACGATCCATGAATAAAATAATTAGTGGTTGTGTAGTTATGCAATATGCATGTTGAAAGGGCCATATGACGGGCAAAATCATGCTTTCATTTTCTCAAGCATAACATTATCATCTGATGAATTATTGATGTACAGCTTTAAATTAAATCAGTATTAAATAGTCTACAGAAGATCATTAAAGGAACTTGAAAGAAACAAATGCACTAATTCTGAGTATTAATGATCCATTAAATGTTTTTCATGAGCTGCTGAGTATGAAAGTCTCAATTGAGCCATGACATCATGACGTCTCGGTTTTTTTTTTTTTTTGCAAGAGTGTGAAGAGAGAGAGGTTCATATATCTCTTCTGCAGGATGAAAATTAGACACAGACTAATTAAAGGGGTCATATGATGCTTTTTTAAAGATCATTATTTTCTGTATTTGGTGTAACAGAATATGTTGACATGCTTTAATGTTCAAAAAACACATTATTTTTCAAATACTGTACATTATTGTAGGTCCTATATGCCCCGCCTCTCTTAGGGGGGCGTGGCAGAGTCTTAACTTTGATAAAGAATATCTCTTTGGTTTTGAGACTTTAGTCTTTGCAACTTCAGGGGTCTTATCTATGCTCAATCAGCTTGTAACACTCCAAAGAGAAAGGAAAACTTGAAATCGCATCATATGACCCCTTTAATGTCTGCTTGAATTACCATGAATAATATTCATATAGCAAACCATAGAAAATATTTTGATTTTGTTATTTTGAGTTGCATATCAGTTGCTGCTTAATCTACTTTACAGTTATTTTCTAATCAGATTAAAATTGAGTATGTTTTCTAAAATCACTTTTGCTTATTTACATATTGCATATTGCTTTAGCAGGCACTCACTAAGATTTTATGACGAAGTACTGTATGGCTGGATGTTTTTTTCCCCCCCTACCTTTTTCTGGTTATTTATTTGAGATTTTCTCAGCAGTTAAAAAAAAATGAACAAATG